GTCGGCGAGGCGCCGGTCCAACGCGTCGTTGCGCCGCTGCCGTGCCGCCGCGCCCCCGCGGCCTCTCGCGTCGTGTTCGCTCTCGCCACCCTCTCGTCCCCCTCTCGCGTCCTCGCCGTCGTCGGCGCCGAGGTGCGCGCCAACGCGTTGCCGGGTCACGCAGTGTGGCTGTGCGCGCGCGCGCGCGCGTGTGTGTGTAGGTGAAGTTGCGCTCCTAGCTTCGGCAGCCGACCCGCGAGTGTGAGTGCAGCAGGATAGTGCAGCTCCACCCGACCAACTTACAGTGAAGCGGCGTCGTGCATCGGTATGAGAATTTCGTTTTTCTTGTATGCGAACGACACCCTTTGGAACTTTGGATACCTAACTGAGTGAGCGTGGAACCATCCTTTTTCTATTGGGGTGTTTCGTTTATAAAAATGAATGTTCGGCACGTTCAAGGATAGAAATCCTCGGCCCCCGAACCCTCTCCCTCCAAAAACGACTGCACTTTTGTATTGCGGTGAAGCCAGTGGCTTCAAGCCCCCGAGAAAACGAAGCGAGAGCTTGACCTGGACATCTACGCGGGTCAGCGCTGCTCTACGCCTACGCCCCTAATGTCAGCTGCAAGTGTGCACAACTCTATTTCAGTGGGGTGAACAAAGTGTACTAGCTGCAAAGTTACGAAAGTTTTTAGAAAATAAATATTTTTTTCTATGAAAATAAGTTTTTTCTTCAAATGTGCTCCAGTCAACCTGTGGCTCGCTATTATTTTAAAAATACCAAAACTTAAAATTTTTACGAGTTCGAACAAAGCAGAGGAGAAAAGGTCAAGCAAATAAAGAAACAAAGAATGATACCTTTTAAAACAGTGTACCATCCTAGTAACTGGGGGACTCTGTGAAACTGTTCAGCGTTTCATCCCTGCAATTTAAGGATTAGAATCGAAACATTGCAGTGCAACCTAAACATCGTCTGGAATTGTAAAATCAAATATCTATGTTCTAGATTATAGATCTGTGAAAGATGCCCAAGTAAAGTGTCGCGGGTTTTGGCGGGGCCTCCGTCCGACGCGCCGTGAGCACCGCGCGCGGACACGCGTTGCGCTGCTCCGCCCCACTCAGTGTACCTGACAGTGTTACCTGGCGGTCCATCTTGCGGCCCCGACAGCCCATCAAGGCGGCTAACGCCCCCCTCCCCCCAGCCTCCCCTGTTCCACTCTCCGCCATCCTCTTCGTCTCATTCCGGATGAGGAATCGGCTGCCAGCCGTCCTAGGCGCCTCTGCCCCCGCCCTCCACCACCACGACGAGCCCTGCGGAGGGACACCCTCGGGGCGGTCTGAGGCAAATGTTTGTGAAGGTGGCATGTTTAGCGACTAAACGGCCATAGGCGGGCCGGCGCGGTGACGGCGCGTCTCGGCGCCGGTCCGGGTAAGGGGCTGTTGATCTTTCATAAGACTCGGCACACAGGGGCCCCTGCAATGCGATGATCCGCTTATTGGCGCCGCCACCGAAATGTTACACAAAACGGGAGTGGGGAGGGAGTGACATAACAATGACAGAGCCGCGCAAACCTAGGAGGTCCGGTTCCGCTCTCTGACTCGTCATGTATCTGGATGTAAAGTCGAAACCCTACAAAACACCACTCCCATGAATTACAGCGCGTTCTCTGCACTTTCTATACCCAGTAGAAATTCCTATCCCAAATGTTTTCAAAATTTGCCGACACAATCAAGAAAACGACCGACTCTTCTGAATGCGCAAAAACCTGTCCATGCATTCGATTATCATTTGTTCGATAATCCATTGGACACATTGACATAAAAAAAGTATGCACCTCGATAAACGCCCGCATGGGGGTCGGGGGCAGTACGTCGATGGGTGTCCACGACGGCGCTGCCGCTCTGCCTCTGTTGAGTTATTTGTCGGAGCTCCGCGCTGCCGCAGCCGCTGCCGCAGCGCCGGGGAGGCGAGGCTTTGCAGGAAGTGCTGGAGACAATCGCAGCAAAAGTGTCATCGCACTTCATCAGCACGGCTTTCAGCGGGAGAGGATGGGGGCGGGAGAAGGGGGGTGAGGTTTAGAGGGAGAAAGGGGGGTGCAGCAGCCTCCCCCCGCGGCCCGCCTGCAGCGTCAGTCGGTTTCAGGCGATTACCATTGTCCGGCATGTCGCTCTTTCGTATCGGGTCGATGTCACACACAAAAAAAAAAAAAGAGAGAGCGCTCTCCAGGAATTTTTGTCACCCACCCCCACGTGTCAGCCTCTCTCTCTCTCTCACACACACACTTCCACTCTCGGATACAAATAAAAGCAAAAAAAAGGTGGGGGGGGGGAGGAAATAATAAAACGGGGTGGGACAGACGAAACAAGCGAGAGCTGCACTTATTCGCGTGTCTGAGGGTCAGCGCACCAGAGGGGCGCGGCGCGGCAGGGCGTGGCGGACTGGGCGGGGTGGGGCAAGGGCAGGGTGTGGGCGGGTGTGCGAGCTTTGTATTGCCCGGTTGAGGCCCGGCCAGGCCCGGCCCGCCCCGACCATTCGTCCACCCCTTTCGCCGTTTCCCGGAGCAGAGTGCCCGCGTGCGCGTGTCGATTTGGAACCTCAGACCGTCGCCTGCCACCCCACCTCGACCCGCGCCCCCGAATAAAGATAGTGCTGCGATGCGCCGGTGCGTTTTTTTCCCCTCGCGCCCTTCGGAGAGAAATATTGCCTGCGAAGAGTAATGCCCGAGCCTTTCGTAGTTGTTTTCCTCTACTTTCGTCCTGCGCGGTGCGCGGGGCTGTAGTGCGGCAACAGAAATGTCATGACGGCTGGACAACAGCCGGTGCGAGGAGGGCCATTCACATTCCTTACTGGAGCCGAAGGGCCAAGCCGCGGCCCGGCTGGACTTGGTGGACGGGCCGCTGACCTGGAGGCTCGGAGCCGACCTTTTGATTAGGGGCGGGGCGGGGCGGGGCGGGGCACAGCGTGGGCGCCGCCAGCGCCTTGACGCTAAGTTAGGAAAGTGTGAGGCGGAGCTATTCCTGGACTGGAGGGACCGAAATACAGCGGCGACGATCAAAAGGGGGCTGTTGATCTACGACCACGCACACAAGACGGGCGGGCTGGCTTGGCTTCGGCCGCCTCTCCCCCACGCCCAGCGCGCCTGCAGCGCACCGGGTAGGCAGCCCACCCCGCACGGGTACGCGCCAGCGGGCTGGGTGGCCTAGCCCGCGGGCCGCAGGGGTTCCTTCCCGCGGCCATCCTCGGGTAGCATCTCAACTTGACTCGGCTTGTGTTACCTGGCCTCTCGCAAGGGAGACCTGCAGACGCAGGCATCGGGCGGCATATCACGGGCACGAGGAACAAAACAACCGCTCGTAAATCGACATTATAATCTCATCGTAAAAATATTGAATATTTTACGGGGACGGAGTGGGGGAAGGGGGAAGGTTGCTCGCAGAGCTGGAGCGGGGCGGGGGGGTCTGTAGTGCCGTAGGCTCCTCGTGGTGGGTAGGGTCGACACACACGCGCCTCCCAACCCAAGCTCGGCACGCCAAGCGCGCCAACAGAGCCGTAAAAGACAAAATGCAGGAATAAAGAGAGGGCTCGGGGGAGTTTGATGGGTTGGCGGCGAGTGCTTGAATCCGATCGGACCGGCACACCCCGCCCCGCCCCGCCGCCTGCAGGCCGCACCAGGCCGTTCTCTCTTTTCATGGTCGAGACGAAACAGTCCCCGCCCCGCTCACCTGTTCAGGCGCGAAGGCCGTTACGCACCCCTCTGCAGAGCTCTGCCGGCCGTCCCTCCGGGCGGGAATCACGCGGGCAAGTGGCAAGTACCACGCAGAGAACTCTTCCCTTTCCGCTGCTCGGCCAGCCAGAGCTCTGCGAAACACGACCCCACGCCATTTCATCATGAAACGTACGGCAAGAACGCGTAAGTAGCGCTGCGTGTGTCTGTCTGTGTGTGTGTTTCCCCACACTTTCCGGGGGGGTCTAACGTTACATCTTTCATGGCCCGTATTTGCTTCCCGTTGTTATGCCCCTGTCGCTTCCGCTGCGGCGGCCGGGGCGGCGGCGCTCGGCGTGAAACACTCCCGGGGGCAGCCGGCCGCAGGACGACTGCTCCGGCACAGAGTGCGCCCGCTTGCGGCCGGCCTAATGCCAGATGCCTGCCTAGCGGCTTCGATATGGACCGGACCGACTCGCAAAACAAAAATAGAAAGGGAGGACGGAGGACGGGGGTGCGCGGGGGTCGGGGCGGGAACGTAAAGCGAAGGGACGTTTCAACAGCCGTATCTGTGTCGTTGCCTCCGTCCCCGGGGGCGGCGCCCCGGGCGCGCGCGCCGGCCCGGCGCGTCTCCCGAGTGCCCTGTCCACTCCGACGTCCGTTCACTACTTTCTATCCGCTCCCCCGTCCCTCCCTTCCGCAAATCTCTGCCCCCTCCCCCCCCCCCCCCCCCCCCCCCCTCCCTCCTCCTCCTCCTTCGCCCGCCCCACCGGGTCCCCGTGGGCGTCACTTGGCGTCCGTTCTTCAGGTCCTAAACTGCTACAGGCCCAACTTTCGTCTTGGCCCCGCGACACTGCGGAGAGAGGGGAAAAAAAGAACGTGCAAAGGGGAAACTGTTTTATAGCAAAGGGAGCCGAAGCAGCGGCGCGGATCACAGCGGCGGCGCGTGGAGGGCGCCCCCCCTCCCCTCCCCGATCTCTGACCGTTTCCAGAGCACTTCCAAAAAGTCGACAGTATCGCCATAATTATATCGCGTCGCACTAATCACGACGGCGTCCTGCTCATTTACGCGACAGAACGGCCGGCCAGAGATAAACGTCCGGTGTGGTCTGCATCGCTTGCTGCAGTAGAGCGGCATGCAGAGCCCCCGACCCCTCGGGCTAGCATTGATTGGCGAGGAGGGGAAGGCAAGGGGTAATAAATATGCTAACAAGTCCAATGTAAATATTCCTTCTAAACGACGCGTGAAATGGCATAGGCAGTCCAGGAGGGGGGAAATGGGATGGCAGGTTTAAAACGTTTTCGAAAAAAGGGGATATAAGAAAAAACAAGAAACAGGGACATGCTGGGGGTGGGGGCGATGGTGGGGTTTTTGAAGGACGTGCTGGAGAATGGGTGGGTATAGGGGGTGAAATTCGAGGGTCCTCCTTCGTCATCAATTCCAGGTCCCCGGAGTTTTCCGTCGTTGCGTTAAGCCGGGCGCAGAGAGGTATGTTTGTTTGATGAGAGGGAAACGAGAGGGCAAACAAAATCGATGACTGTGTCTCGCCGCCTGTTTCCTGTGAGACCGGACGGCGCCAGCGGCTCAAGGAAAATATTGGTCTGGGGATGAAACGCGACTGCAGTCGGCATCGCGCCCAATAGAATGATGTGACTACTTTGAGGTCCTTCCCCCGCCACGACGGGGCAGGGCGGGGCAGGGCGGGACGCCGTGGCGGGGTGGACGAGCGGGGTGGGGCGGGAGGGGGCGGGGTAGGCGCGCCGCAGCCGCAGGGCGCTGAATTGATTTCCCTCATTATGTAAGAGTGCTCCACCTTGTACCCCGATAGCGTAAA